TACCGCATTGTCTGGTGACATCAATGTCCCCAGTGACCTCAATGTCCCCATGTCTCTGCAGGTACCTGGACTCCCGTGGGCTCCTGGAAGGCTGTGGCCCACCACGAGTGCCATCCCTGCCATCCCCAGCTGAGCGGGACACGGAGTACCTAAGCTGGGCATTGGAGGGGTGGCCGGGGCGTAGCGGCCACGACGCACCCATGGTGGCCTTGGAGTCCCTGCTGGCAGCTGGCGGGAGCTGGGAAGAGCTGTGTGCCAGGGCAGTGCTGCACGGCGGGGACAGCGATTCCACGGGGACCATCGCTGCTGGCTGCTGGGGGCTGCGGCAGGGGCTGGCGTCCATCCCGCCGGGGCTGCACCGCCGCCTCGAGCACCGCGGGCGGCTGAGCGACGCCGCGCACCGGCTGCACGCGCTGGCCTGGGGGGGACCATGAGTGCCCCCCTGTCCCTGCCACCACCTGCTGTCCCTCTCTATGGAAAGCTCCTGGGGCTGCCAGGGCACAGCACGGACCTGCATGGGGTCACAGAGGGGTTGGGGTTGGCCTGGGAGACCCTTGCGCCCTTCAGGGTGTGCTGGGGTCCAAGGCAAGCCCCAGGGAGACCACCCCAGCTGGGGCCATTGGCCTCGTAGTCCTCCCCAGAACTGCCCAAGGAGCCTCAGCCACCCCCACAGTAAAAAACATCTCCCGAATCACTCTGGGTCTGCTTTTGTGCCCTGCGCCTCTCGTCCTGCCTCTGCCTGGGCTTAATGTCCAAAGCGTTACTGTTCAGATCCAGCCCCGGCTTTTTCAAGTTTTTCAACCCTTTATTTATCTAATGCAATCCTCAAAAGTAAGGAAAACAGCACCACTTTTAAATCATCAAAGCCTATGCACTTGGAAGACCAAATAGTCAATTTAAGGTCCAAACCGACATTTTCATGCTACAAAACCACATTTATACATCCCAAGGTTTATGTTTTTGAAGTCTAAGATTCATTTAGAGGCCCCCACAGTGTCATTTTGAAGGTCCCAAGTTTGATCTCACAATGCCATCAGTGTCACCCACTGCAGAGATAGACCACACACATTGCCTGAGAAGGGCTTCTGCAAGTCCCAGGGGCACTTTGGAGGTGTGCTATATTTGCTCTCCTCCCCGTATTTTGTGGGGGGTAACCTCCTGCAACGTTCTAGAGGGGATTTGGAGCCTTGGGACTGCCCCTTCCAATTATTTCAGCGGGAAACTTTGTAATTTGGCGGGGGGGAATCTTCCTAAACATTGGTGTCCTCTAGTGAAGTCCTGGGGCCTCTAGAGGCGTCCCCCAGACTTCCCCCAGTCTGTCACTGGTAAATAAAAACAGGTTCGAGGTTCAGTCGCTCCGCAACTTGTCAGTGCCCTCCCTCATCACATTCGGTTCTGTCCTCCCCCATATCCAGCCCAGACCTGTTGCCCCAGGCCCAGTAACCCGCCCCGTTCCGTGTCCACCACGGGAGCCGGACGGGATCACGATCAATGGCGGGCGGGGCCCCTCACGGAGCAAGCGAAGGGGCGGGGCCTGCACAGGCAGGTGTGGCTCCAGCTCGCCCCCCCAAAAAAGTGAGTGACAGCTGCAGTAACCAATGGCCCAGCAGGGGCGGGGGGCGGGCTTCGCCTGACAACCAATGGCAGCGGGAGGCTGGCGGGCAGCGCAGAGCGGCTAACGGCGTTGCGATGACGGGCGGCGCCGGCAGCCAATGGGCGGCGGAGGGCGGTGCGACCAGCCAATGAGCGGGGCGGAGCGGGGCGGAGCGGGGCGCGGCTGCGGCGCGGAGGATCGCGGCGGGCGGTGAGCCTCCCCCGATGCGGCAGGGCTGCTCCCGGTATCTGTCACCTGAGCGTACCCGCGGGCCCGGGCCACCCCCAGCTCCCTTCCCTCCGTACCCCCAGAACAGGCCCCCGAAGCCCTGGGATCCCCGCTGCTCCCCAGGCAGCAGGCCCAAGCCCATGGCTTTCCCCTTGTTCCTCTCTATTCTCTCCACCCCTTCAAACTGCGCCCGCCCCCAGCAGAGCCCGAGTCAACAAAAGCTCTGAGGTCGTGTCCGGTCACCACTCGCGGTGTTGTGGGCTCCCCTTCCTACCCCGTTAGTGCGCGCCCGTCAATTCTGCTCCGGCTCTGCACCCAGCAGCCCAGAATCCACCCAGCTCACCTGTCCCGAGCCCTCCGGCTGGAGTCCCCTTTCCCGAGGGTGCCCCTGTCTGCCGAGGGTCCCCCTGTCTGCCTAGGGTCCCCTCTGTACTCCAGGGGTGCCCTTGTCTGCCCAGGGTGTCCCTCTTTGCCCGCAGACGCCCTGGCGCCATGGCGGAGCCGCGGTACCTGCAGGCCGAGTGCGCGTTCCGGCCCGGGGCACACACGGTGCGGGTGACCCTGACCCGCAGCACGTTGCGGGTGGAGGTGGAGGCTCACGGCACCGCCGACCTCTGGAGGGGAGAGTTCGATGCCACCTGTGAGTGCTGGAGGCAGCCTGGAGAGGCTGAGGGGATCTCCCACGACTGCCACTGACCGAAATACCCCCTCTGCTCGCAGTCATCGAGGATCTGACCCGCAAAACGGGGAATTTCAAGCAGTTTAGCATTTTCTGCAGCATGCTGGAGTCGGCACTGACACAGGTGTGGCCATGCTGCTCCCCCACACGGCGTTTTGAGGGTACCTGGGGTGGAGTGTGTGTCCTACCAAGCCCTCCTGCTTTTCAAACTTTCTGCAGAGTAGCGACTCCGTCAGCCTGGAGCTGCTCACCTACACCGATCTGGAGACCCTGCACAGCCGGAAAGTGGGGACAATCACCCGGCCTCCCCCTTCCACCCGTTCCCCCCTCAGCACCAAGCGCTACCTCATCCTCGTCTACTCTGTGGAGTTCGATAGGTGACAGGGGACGCCAGGCAGGGGTCACAGAGGAGTGATTCCAGCCTCACCTCCTCCACATGCTCTCCTCCAGGATCCATTACCCACTGCCCCTGCCCTACGCGGGGCGGCCGGACCTCGTGGCCCTGGTGCGGGAGCTGCAGGAGCAGCTGGCACAGCTCCGGGCCCAGCGCCTGGAGGAGACCCAGCACCTGCGGGATGCGTGAGTGGGGGCCGGTGACAGCTGGAAGGGTTTGGGGGTTCCTGTCCCACAGGGTGAGGAAGGAGCCCCCAGCCCACCCCCTGCCATCCCCCCCAGGCTGTGGCAGGCAGTGGAGGAGAAGCGGGCAGCAGAGGCGCGACACCAGCGCGAGTACCGGCAGATGGCTGCAGAGGTGGGCTGGGAGGGGTGGGAGCGGCTCTTGGTAAGGACAGGGGCTGCCAGATGCACAATGAACCTTTTCTCCCCCTCACAGCTGACCCAGGCAAAGGCGTCAGAGAAGAGGCTGCAGCTGCGGGTGAAGAACCTGACAGCTGAACTGGCCTCCTGCAAGAGGGGGTGAGGCCGGGGTGAACCCTGCAGGAGGACGCTCCTGACCGTGGGGTGTCCCCCTGTGCCTCCCTGATGGTACAATGGTCCTCTTGGCAGCCGCCAGAAATCTGCCAGCCCAGCCCCACGCCCCCAGGAGCGACGCTCAGCATCCCTGGAGAGCCACAGGAGCAGCCGGGGCCACCCCTCATCGAAGTCCCCGTCGCCTGCAGGTGTGGGACACTTGGGAACACACCCCAGGAATGGAGACAGGACACTGCTCACCCCCCTCACCCTGACCCCCTCCTCTGCCTCCCCCTGCCAGGCTCCCGCCCACCACGCTTCGACCCCACTGCCTTTGTCAGGGCCCGGCAGTGCCGGCAGAAGGAAGCTGAGCTCAGAAAGTAAGCAGTGGTGATTGAGCTTGTCACCATCCCTCCCTGGTACTTGGGGGGTCTCCTCCCCCCTTCAGCTCCATGTTCCCCCTCACCACCATCTCCCTTGGGTGCAGCCAGCGCCGTGGAGTGGCTTCTGGCAGCACCAGCCCGGCGAGGAGCCACAGGCGCAGCTCGTCTGGTGAGTGGGGAACATGCAGAGCGCTGGGGGTGCACTCACTGACGTTAAGGCTCCTTCTTTAACTTCCCCCATCCCCATTTCTCCCTGCAGCTGAAAGCTCCCGGAGCTGTCGCTTGGGAGGGAGCTCTGGCAGCAAAGCCAGTGAACGCCCCGAGCCCGTGCCCTGCAGGTAATGCTGGGGTTGGGCACGATGCTTGGGCATCCTTTCTAGCACCCTTTAACCTCCCCGCCTTGGGCAGGGACAGGAGAATGACCCGTACACGGAGACCCCTGAGCATCTCGTCCTGCAATGGCCCCTGTATGGTGAGCGGCTGCCCCTTTGGGGTTCCCCCACCCCTCCATCCCAAAGCAGGGTGACCAGGAGGTCACTGGTGACCCCCGACCTCCCCTCCAGGTGTCTCGCCCAGCTGCCAGCCACAAGCTGCCAGGGTGCAGGACTGGTGGCAAGCGCCCTGGCAAAGGTGAGGCCCCATATGAGCCCCTAGATATTTGAGGGATACTCCAGTCCAGACCTCTGTTAACCCTTTTTTCCTGCACTGGCTTCCCCAGAGAATCACATCAAGGAGTCCTCAGCTGAACTGGCTGAGATCGATGCCCGGCTGCAGGCTCTGCAGGAGTACATGGACAGCCTGAACACCCGCATGTGACCCCCTCTCCCTGTGGGACACACACCCTCTCCCTGTGTCCTCGGGGCCTGGCAGTGGTGGTGTGGTACAAGTGTCCCCCTAAATAAATGTTTGTGTAGTCCCAGAGTGTGTCCTTCTTGGGATGGGGCAGGTGTGGTGTCCTCTGGGAGGGACACAGTGTTGGAGCTGGGTGCATCAGGGACATCACAAGAGGGTGACAGTACCAGTGTTTGGGGACATGTGGGATACAGCCCAGGGCACCAACCCTGTCCCCTGGGCTACCAATGAATGCAAAGGCCACTGCAATGTGACACCAGCACCCATGTCACCCTACTCTGTCCCTGCATCCTAGGGTGTCTCTGTCCCCTCTCCTGCCACCTACTGTCTTCACAGCTCTGGCCAAGCTCCCCACTATGGCTCTGACACCACCACGGCTTTATTCAGTTCCATGTCACATAAAACAGTGTCCTTTGGAGACAATGGTGACGAGCCAGCACCAGGGTGCAGTTCAGGGATGCTGGCAGCTGGCTAGGGGACCAGCAGTGATGGTGTCACCAGAGCACGCAGGTCCTGGGGCACCAGGCTGGCAGTCTCTGTGCCAAAGCCACTGTTCGGTGTCACTGTGGCTACACTGGTGATGATGCCACCGTGGTGAGGAGGTCTCCAGGGTCAGTGTGGGGTGCTGCAAACATGACTCGGTGCCACCACAGCTCGGCAGGACGCTGCACTGATGATCCTGACGGTGATCAGATACCACCTTGCCATGGCAGATGTGGCACTAGCGATGCCGAGGACAGCAGTGATGCTGGCAGCTGTCTGCCAGGTGCTGGTGCCGCCGCTGGCGGCAGGCGCAGCAGGGACGGTGAAGGCGGTGCCCCACGTCGGCGGCGGTCAGAGCTGCCCGCGGATGTCGGGCAGGAGGTGACATGCTGTGACGATGTCGATGGTGTCGGCCACGGCGCGCAGATCACGGCGGGCCAGGCGCAGGCAGTGCGCGGCCGCGGCGGCGGTCACCTGCGCCCGGCCCAGGGCTCCCCCCAGCCCGCCCAGGCTGCGGGCAGCGCTGCCATAGCTGTGCCGCAGGGCGCTGCCCACCGCCCCCCGCAGCCGCCCCGTGCCCTCCCGCAGCCGCTGCTGCAGCAGCGAGGGGCCGCCACCCCACACGGCCGCCGGCTCCTCCGCCGGCACCGGCGGCGTCTTCGGCCTCTGCTCCTCCTCCTCCTCCTCCTCTTCGGTCTCGGAGGCTTCGCCCGGCACCTTCAGGCCGGCGCCGGGGGCCTCCCCTGCCGTCTCCACCAGCAGCTCTGGCTCCGAGTCGCTCTCGGAGGCTTCGCCCGGCACCTTCAGGCCGGCGCCGGGGGCCTCCCCTGCCGTCTCCACCAGCAGCTCTGGCTCCGAGTCGCTCTCGGAGGCTTCGCCCGGCACCTTCAGGCCGGCGCCGGGGGCCTCCCCTGCCGTCTCCACCAGCAGCTCTGGCTCCGAGTCGCTCTCGGAGGCTTCGCCCGGCACCACCCGAGGGGGGCGGGGGGCGGCCATGCCCTGGAGGGGCACACGGGGTGCGTCAGGAGGGCAGCATCCAGGGGTGAGGGCGATCCGGGCTCATCCCTGCACAATCCCATCCCTGTGCTCTGACCCGTCTAACCCGCACGGCCACTCAGCCATCCCGGGGGCTCCCGGCAGTGACCCTCGATTCCCATCCCGGGTCCCCCCGATCCCGGGCCCCCCACAACCCGGGTTTCCCCCGATCCCAGTCTCCCCGATCCCAGGTTCCCCCTGATCCTGGTCTCCCCCAGTCCTGGTCCCCCCGATCTCGGTCCTCCCCAGTCCCGGTCCTCCCCAGTCCCAAGTCCCCCCCGATCCCAAGTCCCCCCCGATCCCGGTCCCC